AAATACAAATCATTTCTGGACACAGTTGTTTTTTGAGTTTTCTTTTTCCATTATCCCCCCTTCCCCCTTTCCCTCTGAGCAAGCATTCTGGAGTTTTTGGTAAGTATGTGGGTCTTGGCAATATTCGCCTCAGAAATTGTGTTCGATCAGTCTTTGCCTGGTGTTTCTGGCATGCTGGCCTGAGGTGTTGGGATTAGCCTGTAAATGCCTTTTTTTGATAATAATCTTATCCTCTGTGGGTCTGACCAGATTAATCTCTTGCCTATTTTGTGGAAATTACATATCTTGGCTGGGTTGTGTAATAAGCAACATGCCAGGACTATATTGCAGCATTTGTGACTTGTACAAAAGCTGTGCCAGCAAACCTATCTAGGCACATGAACTACACTTTCAAAAGCTCCTTCCTTATTGAACTGATGGTTTGGCGAGCAACATTGTTATCCCATGGGGAAGTTTGGAGATTTAGAAACAGAGGAAAATAGCAATGCATTTATTATATGTGAATCACATAAAGAAATATTATAGGAGAAACTATCCCTAATACTATCACAGACACTTACAGATCAAAGCAATCGCCTTCCTTATAGCCAGACCTTCTCAGAATTTAAGAGTCATAACACGCTGTTGCGTTCTGTGCCACAATGTCTAAATAACAGCTTTGCATTGCAGACGATATGAAAATCTCTCCTCTTCCTTTAGGCCACCTCATTTACTGATGCTAAGAGTGGTCCTAGCACACTAGGCAGATAACTAATGCACATGGGTTGGAGAGCATTTTTATTACTGTTGGGACTGCCTCTGTGAGGGTTGGTTAAAAAGCGGGACACAGAAGCATCTAGATGCATATAAGGAATACAGAGTGGCTTCTGAGTGGTACTCGAGATCATCCTGTTTTCACCACCAAACTGGGTTGTGTGGTCGCCACCACTGTTACAGGCACAGTGTAGGCCCTGCTTCACTTTCCAGTTTCACTTTGGAGCTAAATTCCCTAAAGAGCATATTTGTGAGAGCATATTTATCAAGCCCATATCTAAATCCAAGTTTGTGGCTGTATCTAAACAGGCTGTGGACCATGTGGGCCATCTCTTCCACCTACTCTTGTTTCAGACGGAAGAAAACCTGAGAGCAAGAAGCATTTTGCTGCAGTACAAACCAGCCATAATATGCTTCTTAGTGAAATATTTGCTTGTGGCTGCTTTTTGCTAAGTGACTGGGCTAATGGTGAGATGCAGCTAGTGTGGGCTAACCCCTCATGCAGGCACAACGTATGGTTCAGGTATCTGTCCTGAGGTGAGCTGCCATGGGTGTGCTGTCTTGACCATAAACTCTAAATGCACCCGGTCTGTCAGGGATGACCTTTCACACCTGCATACCACTTGTGCCCCATCTGTGCCTGTTTTATTACTTGTTTGTTTGTTAAACATAATATACCGTATTTTCCCGTCTATAAGACACCTCCATGTATAAGACTATTTTGGGGGACTCAGATTTAAGAAAAAGGGGGTGAGATGGCCCCATGTATAAGATGCCCCCTCATTTTTGACATTATTTTTTAGGAAAAAAACCTAGTCTTATACACGGAAAAATATGGTATATATAGATGCCTTTATAAATAAATACATTTCAAATTGAAGCATGTAAGAATCATGATGCAAGAATACACATTCTTACAAAATTACATTAAAAAACAACAACCAAGGGGAAGTGTCACAAGCAAGTATGAAACGCAAGTCCAGTCCAATGGATTTTGTTAAGGTTCCAATGTAGCTTTCAAAGTCCTAAACAAAAACAAGCAGCAGATCTCTTTGAAAATTAGCCTTTTATTAATATGTTTGAAAAGGGAAATACATGGAGTTCCACAAACATCCTGAGATCAGCCTAGATCTACAATATAATGAAGATGTGTTTATTTGCATTATGTCACTCTAAAAGTGTGATGGAATTGGGGAGGGGGGGGTATTCAGAATTTGACAAATATACTACAGTTCAAACAACCATTGTTGGAAAGTCCAGATTTCCTCCCTAAATTTAATACATTTAATTCATTGGGTTTTACTGTATCCCAACTTCAGTATGCGATTAAAAAAAAAACCAGCACAAAATTCATTCTTTGCAGTAATATACAAAGCCCCCTCCCGATTCCAACTTGTTTCAGCTATCTGTGATTAGAAAGGGTTGTAATACCTGCCATTTTGAGTGGAAGAAGCTGTAGGGCAAGGAGAAATGAGCTGACAATAATAAGATCAACAAAAGATAGAGTTTCCCACTAACCTAATGTGTGGTGGCAATATCAGATTTTGTTAGCGAATACCTGCAAACTGATATTGTAGTCAGATCTAGTGCTTGGATCAGACTTCCAATACTGTCTTGCAAAATAATGGAGGTATGCATGGTTTTTATCATTTTCAAAGTGAATATACCCATGCTTTTTTTCTTGTATCTGTCAAAGCCTATTCATTATTTCCCTGTAGTTCTCATTGTCTGGCTAGAAATATGGCTACGTGTGTCTTTTCAGTTACAAAAGTTATGAGTTTTTATGTGGAATATTACATTACTTGCAGACATTGAGTAACAAATACTTCCCATCTTCAAAATCTTTCACTGTTGATCACAAAAGGTTTGTGGCATCATTTACAGGACTAGAGAGGCATAACACAAAATCTTCCCTCTTGGTGGTGGATATACCAGCATACCCAAATGTCAAATATGAAACCTGTAAGGTTTATGTTTTACTGCAAATTGGAAAGGTTTAGTCATAGTTTGAAAGACAGAATTCAGATTTCTGCTAAATTGAGTATAAATCTATCACATTTGAATCTTTTAAAAAGCAGGCCAAAAAAAATAGAATACTGAAAGATACTGATATTTACAAATAATCTATTGCATTATCCAGTTCCATGATGTTGGCAGTAGATCTTGAGCCTTCTCAGTGACTTAAGAATCTGCTTTCCTATGACAATTTTCTTCACAGGTAGAGAAGTTAACTGTGATTCCTATAAACACCATTGCCCTGATCCAGCTATCCCTTGTGGGCACAAGGGCTCTGATCTCACCCAGCCCCAGGATCTTCTCCATTCACTTCAGTGGTCGAGGCATCTCTGGTATCACATGCATAGAGATATGCACATAGATCTTTTCCATCCACTGCTGTGATTTGAGAAACCCACACATGCAGGGGCTCCTTGTGCACATTGCAGCACACACGGGGCTCTGGTTCAGGAAGTGTCTCTGCAATTAACTAGAAGTGCTACATTAAAAGCCATTTTCCTTTTCCCTTATACCATTCTAAACCACACTCTTAAGAGATGAATATGCTCTACATATCAAATTACAATCTCTAATTTCAACACTCTGCATGGGTGCAATTGTCTGTAGAAAATTGAGGTGACTGTATTGAGTTGGTAACTAATGGGCTAGTTTCTCTTTCTTCCTAAAGCAGTTTGCAATGCAGGTATTTTGTATTTAATTCTAGAAAAATCAGTTGGGAAGTATGATGCCTTTAAGACTTCAGTTGTCGGACATGATGAAAAAAAGGAATTGGTGGGCAATGGAGTCTCTTCCAGTTGTTACATAACTTTTTATGTATGCATATATGCTGAGTATCCAGGGCCCTGTGGTTAGGATGAATATTTTGCTAACTTTGCCTTGATAATCTAAATGTTAAAAAAACACCACTGCATCTATATATAATCTGACTGCATTCTCTGACCATTGATACTGAAGGTGTGGCAAAGAAAGAATATAGGACTATTTTTTTTAGTATAAGGTTGGCTCTTATTCCAAGTGTGGAGGATGAATTGATGTGTGATCTTTGATCAGTAAAATGACTCAGTTTCAACATAAATACAAAGGGATGATACCCATTGTATAATGCTATAATCCAGTTGTTGCCTAACTCTAGATTTGAACATTCCTCTTGCATCTTAAAAGGAAATCACTTGTATCGATTGCTTCTATTTTGGTTTGTGTTTGTAATTTGTCGCATTCTGCATTGTGCCTATTGGATCCAAATTTTCCTGTGCTACAAAGAGTAGAGATAAATTTTGTGTGGTTGGCCTCTATAGCACACTTAAAACTGAGGGCTGATTCTCTTCATAACCTTGTCCGTGACGGGCTGCTTTTATTTATCCAGCTCAGATTAGTTTTCCTACCTTTTGTCCATAGTGAAGTGGTCATACTATGACTTTGAGATCACAGTTTGATGGCCATCACTCAAACATACTCTTTGAACATTTGTGGCAAACAGTAACACCATCTGAGTTTGCGGTCAAAATGTTTCATGACTACTTCCTCATAGGCAAATGCAGGAAAATAGTACTCCAGAGTTTAGAAAGTGGTTTGCTACTAACAACGTGGCCATGAGAATTAGCCCTGAGATATTAATTGCCAGGCTTATAGCAAAGTTTCTAATGAAGATTTGAAACTTGACTCATTGGACCTAAGTATGATTCATTTAACATTTAGAAGTCCATAGAAAATTAAGTATTTGCATATTTAAGAGACTTTAAAAAGTGCTGTTATAGCAGTGCCAAATCGTTTTGTCTAATAGCCTGACATCAGGAATAGGTTACAAAGTAATAGCATAAAGAGCACTTAAAAATACCTATTATTGTCTAAAATTTCATTAGCATTCTAGTGACTACTGTGTGGAATAGTGCTCTGCAGGTGTAAAATTTCTAAAGGTTTTCTTTCCATTTCTATATAGATATTTTCCCTTCACATTTTGAAGGTTTGAAGAAGAGGATTGTTTTTCGAGTCACACTAAGTAAACATTAAATGCATGCAGGCTTAAAACTAAAGCATGCATGTTACGCAGCAACAATAAAAGTGCTCGGCTTGCACGACTTACGATGCTGAAGCATTGCCTTGTTAAATTGCCAAAATCCCCTTTTTATTTGCATCTTTAAAAAAAGTTAAATTCTTAATTTCACATTGCATTATTTAGATTTTCAGTCTTTGGACAAATTAGATTTATTTTAGCAAATATTTCTGTGTTACAGATAAAGTTGATGAAATAGTACCAGTTTCCAAGCCATCAAGAATTCCAGACAATGCAGCCGTGGACTCAAGAGTGGCAACAATTAAACAACGACCTTCCAGCAGATGCTTTCCCTCGGCTACAGATATGAATGTGAGTAATGGCTCTTGTAAATGTACTTAAGAGTTCTGATATTTTGACTAAATTAAGATCTTTCCAGATTCCTAATAGTAGAGGATAATCCTCCAAGCTTTCCTTTTCTTTTTGCACACTTATCCTTAATTCTTCTGACTTGTGCCCATGATCACCTTCTGGAATGACACTCCTCACTGTAACGGATTAAGATTTATTTCCTGGGAAAATTTACTTGGAAGTTAGTCCCATTGAAGTAAATGAGAGGCACCTCTAGAAGTGTGATATATTCATGTTCTATAAAATTACACCTTTGTTACACCATATTCTTGAACTGGATCCATAGCAATGGTATATTCAAATGCCCTTTTAATAGGTAATTTCCAGAGTTTGAAATCAACATCAAAACCTTTCTCATGATTTATTGTAATGGTGCAATGGGACTGTATCTATAAATGAAGTAGATCAAAATATTGAATCAGATCTTGTCCCAGAATCACACATAATGAACTTAAAGGTCTTCCTAACCCCAGAGTCGTCCGCGACTGGACCTAACAGTCAGGGATCCCTTTACCTTTTTTACAGTGCAGTAAAAGCCTCAGCGCCTAGGGCTTGCCGATCGAAATGTCGGCGGTTTGAATCCCCGCGGCGGGGTGCGCTCCCGTTGCTCGGTCCCAGCACCTGCCAACCTAGCAGTTCGAAAGCACCCCCGGGTGCAAGTAGATAAATAGGAACTGCTTACTAGCGGGAAGGTAAACGGCGTTTCCGTGTGTGGCTCTGGCTCGCCAGAGCAGCAATGTCACGCTGGCCACGTGACCCGGAAGTGTCTCCGGACAGCGCAGGCCCCCGGCCTCTTGAGTGAGATGGGCGCACAACCCTAGAGTCTGTCAAGACTGGCCCGTACGGGCAGGGGTTACCTTTACCTTTACCTTATGGTGTGTTTCTTTTCCTTCCCATCAGAAATGTTGCTCAGACCAAGAAACATGTTCTGTCCAGGATGACAAATTTGCCACCTATTTCACAAATACTATCATTCATAGAATTTGATATGACTTTAGAAGCTCTTAGTTCAAATACCACGACTAGTGTGGAAGGCTCTGCTTTGTACAAGTTGTGTGCATCCGCTACTCTTGATTCCCCCCCTACTGAGGCAGAAAGAATTAAGGGAGAAACTGACCTGCTGTTAGTTGGATTGCTGTGTGTTCTGGTTGGTGATGGACAGCATACAGGAAGTAATGACCTCAGTTGGGTGGAATAATAAATATTCTCCTCCTCAGGGAAGGCATGCCAAAGAAATATGAAACTTCTGATTGTCTTGCTCGGCTCTGGCTTTGATACTTCTAGCTAGTCTAAAGTTTTCCCTTTTCCAGTAAGCTTTTGGGATAGCAGTTTATTTCACTGTATAAAGATACTGTTTCTGAACTGTATCTCCTTCAGTCACAGTTTGCAGGGCAAAAGATGGCATTAAATCCTGTGGCTCCTAGTAACACTTCAGGAACTTCTGATTCTGTGCTCTTTAGGTGCTTGAGGCAGATGTTTAGCTTTTCCCAGAAAGTAAAGTGCCAGAGGACAGAAGCATAATCTCTTGAGAATATTTTTGAAGAATTGAGACTGTCCACCTCAACTTATCATCCCCAACCCATTGTTTTTAAAAAAATCTTTTCAATTTTAAATTTCTTTAGAAAAGTTATACCCCAGTCTTCAGCCAAAAAGGCTCCTGGAGTGGCTTGCATACAATCAAGATAGTCCCTGTCCGTCAGCTTACAACAAAAAAGAAACAGCACAGAAGGAAAAGTGTCCAGGGGATGAAGGGTGGGGAAATTCAGAGGCCAATTCTTAAAGTTTAAATCGTAGTTATTATCATGACAAGGCGAAATGGAATCAGTTTAGGGACAGGCGGTGTCTGATAGAGCTGGCCTTTCAGTAAAGCTATGGAATGAACCCCACTTCTTATCTCTCTCACTGTTCATTTGCAAAATAATCATTTTCACTTTTATTCTCTATGCACTACTTATGCCTTATAAAATTATTTATGTTATTCAGTGGTCTTGTTCCTTCTCGCATAAAATTCCAGCTGTTTAGCATCTACTTCCTCTATGAAGCATTTTTTACTTTTTGGAGGGGAGTTAGGGAATGTTTTTAAAGAAAAGAATTGAATCTAGGTTCTGGACTGGAGGACAGTCCCAAATCTATCATTAAAATGAAAAAAATGTGAATTTTTGAGTAAGGTTGGTGTGTGTGTGTGTGTGTGTGTGTGTGAGAGAGAGAGAGAGAGAGAGAGAGGGAGAGAGAGAGAGAGGAATAAGGAGACAGGTTGCATTTTAAATTGAAATGTGCTTGGAAATTCAGGAGTGTGAGCCACTGCAGTGAAAACAAAAGAAATCTCTAGCTGTGTGCATAGTTTTCTCACATACTTGCACATAAATGTGGTCTTACACATTGCCTGTTAACTGCTAGTTAGCTGTTGGTATGTTGCATTCAGCATTTTTCTGAAGGTATCTGTAGTATTGTATGTGATCCTGGTTCATGTTTTGTCTCACTCCAAATAACAATACAGTGGAACCTTGGGTTACGTACCGTCCTCCTTACGAACACTTCGGGTAATGAGCTCTGGTAACCCGGAAGTAGGTCTCCTGGTAGCAAACTTTGCCCCGGGATGCAAGTGGAAGTCACGCAGCGGCTGCAGGAGGCCCCATAAGCCAAAGTGCACCTCAGGATAAGAACGGATTTGGGTTAAGAACAGACATCTGGAACAAATTAAGTTCATAACTTAATTTTGGGTTTTGGGTTAAGAACACCAGTACAGCCAAAAACGTAAGACCCAATCACATACAGTAGACACTCAGGTTGCGAATGTGATCCGTGCAGGAAGCATGCACAGGTTTCAGTGCCTCTGCGCATGCGCAAAGTGCGATTTAGCACTTATGGACATTTGTAAGCGCCGAAACCCATTCCGGTGCTTCTGGGTTCGGCACGGTGTGCAACCTGAAATCACACAACCCAAAGCGTCTGTAACACGAGGTATGACTGTATAAAAAACACTATGGTGTAGTGGTTAAGAGCGGTGGGCTCATAATGTGGTGAACCGGGTTCTCGTCCCCGCTCCTCCACATGCAGCTGCTGGGTGACCTTGGGCTAGTCACACTTCTCTGAAATCTCTCAGCCTCACTCACCTCACAGTGTTTGTTGTGGGGGAGGAAGGGAAAGAAGATTGAGGTCAATGTGTTGTGGACTGTTGAGGTCACCTGAGAAGACTAGTGAGGTCTTCTAATAGAAGACGTTATCCTTTCACAGTATACCTTAGGTTGTTATCTCTTTATTACTCCCTGTAAAAGAACAAGGAAAACAAGTTTCTAGTTCTGTTCTGTGGTTTCTGAATAAATGTGATTGTATTGTATTGTAGAGTGTTTCCTTTTCCTGCTTATTCTTGGGTGCACTGCTAAACTTCCTTAGTCCCGGGAGCTCTGACTCTTTGCTTGACGTCAACACAAGTGGCACATACCAAGGTGCAGACAAGAAACTGTCATGCAGGCCTAGTATAAGAAGAGACCCTTGGAGGGACAGATTCTGTGGTCTGGTGCTGTACTCATGTCCAACAGTTGGTACCACCTGGCCAGTCCTCTGTGGATATGACCTCAATTCCCATACCTTTTCCTTAAGGAACCGTGTATATCAAGGCATCACGGGGACTTAACAATATACTTCTGTTTCTTCCTGGGGGGGGGGAGATTGTTCATATCAGAGCTGAATACTAGCACATTGTGGCTGTAGACCTGTTGACTTCTGGATAGCATGTTATGGCTTACTTGTTTATATTCCTTTTCCTACCTTGAGATGTTTAGGAGAGGTGTGCAGGATAATTATCTAATAATTAATGTCAGACACAAGTCAGCGTTTTGAATGGTGCCTTATCTGCTCTACATTAATGGCTTCTACTCTCAGTTCTTTGCAATATTCTGGTCACCTATGTGTACGGTAGCACATACCACCATTTGAAGAAGATAACAATCCTTTCCTATAAGTGCTTTTCTTCAAAGGGGATGTCTGTTCTTAGACATACTGTAGTCCAAAAATCCATTTGGTACCATTAGCCAGGTTTTCCTTCATCCCAGTTGTCCGGTTCTGAATAGATCCTTCCCCTACCTATGTTTAACTTTGCTACTGCAAGTGACTGAGGGAGGGCCTCTTGCAACACCTGATGCCACTATGAAAGGTTTTGTGAGCCATCATATGTGGCAGACAGGTATGGACAGCTCTGGAAGAAGATCAGTTGTAAGAAATAAACTTGTGATCCATAGAAATGGCTTTCTCTTTTGCCCGTTGAGTACAAATATAAAGCCTTCCATAGCAAAAGCTCATAGTTCACTAGTTTATCAAACCTTCCTTTTTGTGTTGCCGTTTTCCTGTGTAATATAGAAATAATCTGCCCAATTTCCCAAATATCCAATGAAACAAATATTTTGGATGTCTCAAAATAATGGCCAAATTGTGTAGAGTATAATGTATTTTTTCCCAAATTGTCACTTACTATTTGAAGTGAATATCAAAGCTATGGCCAAGTTGACATGTTTCTTTGAATTGTAGCATGTATTTTGCCACTACCTCCTGTAAATGTTACCGTTCTGCACCAGTAACATATAATTCATCTGCCTAGGCCAAATTACATCATTACCAACCACACTATTCACATCTGCCCCAATCACCAGCATGCAATCTGTCCCTCTTGACATGGTCAGGAATAGAGATAGATATAGAGATAAAGATAGATAGATGATAGATAGATAGATAGATAGATAGATAGATAGATAGATAGATGATAGATAGATGATAGATAGATAGATAGATAGATAGATAGATAGATGATAGAACGGCATGAAAGTGACAATGAAGACATGGAACCATACTGCCCAAGGTATTGTGTAAACCAGGCCTATATGTGAGAATGAAACAGAACTTTAAATTATGGCTTCAGGTACAATTATTTTTTCTTTTTGTTTTTTTGTAGTCTATGTATGAGAGACAAGGGATTGCTGTGATGCCACCAACAGTCCCTGGGAGTTCCCAAGGCCCGTTTCTGGGTGTACCACGAGGTACCGTGAGAAGACAAAAATCAATAGGTAAAATGAAACTTTCTACGAGCGACGTTTCATTATTTTCAACAATTGCTTCTAGTGTTTGTTTCAAATTCATTTGTTCATGGGTTGATTTTGAGTCTTGATCAAATAGCCATTGCGTGAGAACAAACTGGCCCGTTCACATGTCATATTGAACTATAAAATAAGCTGTACTTTAATGTGAGAGAGTAGCATGCAAATGCATGTTTGAGAAATGGCAGGTATTTTGCTCCTCCCCCACTGCTCCTGCTGCTGCCGCATTGCCGTGAAACAAGATGTGGTTTTGCTTCTCAAGTTCATGGTTTATTTTTATCCAAACAAACCATGAGCAAAAGCCAAGGTTTGTTATTGGCTTACCACTTTGGGGAAAACAAATTATGAGTCCAGGTTTAGACAACATGACATACCAGACCATGGCTTGTTTCGCGGAAGCACAGCATGAGCAGCAGAAGAGCAAAGCATCTCTGCTTTTTAGAAGCATGCAGCACCACATTCACATTAAACCATAGCTAGTTGTAACTAAGATATCATGTGACATGTGAACCAGGCCAGTCAGTGGCGGAGGAAGCCGCTCGGGCACTCGGAGCGGCAAACATGATGTGCACCCGGGGGTGGGGCGTCGCCACATAGCACACATGTGCGGCATCGCTACGTACGACGCATGCGGCATACGTAGCGACGCCGCACAAGCGCACTACGTAGTGGTTTGCTGGCGGCAGGGTCCCGGGATCCTCTGCTCGTGGCTGCAGCCGCGAACGGAGGATCCTCTACATGCGGCTGCAGCCGCGAGCAGAGGATCCCGGCCAGCAAACCGCTAGGTGCCGCCACCAAACCGCTACGTAGCACACATGTGCGCAAGCGCACTACATAGCGGTTTACCGATGGCACAGTGTCGGGATCCTCTGCTCGTGGCTGCAGCCGCATGTAGAAGATCCTTCATTCGCAGCTGCGGCAGCGTGATGGCTGCTTGCGCCGCCACGGTGGGGCACTGCCTTGTCACCCCTGGAGATGTGGCACCGGGAGCACACCGCCCCCATTGCGACACCGCTGAGGCCAGTGTCTGTCAATAACATTGGCTGAATATTGCAACTGGAATTTGTGCTCTTTGAAATATACAATTTCTTAAGTAATTCATTGTTTTTTAGCTTGTTTATTTCAAATATTTATTTACTGCTTAATATCAGAATTTCTTAGCATACAAAATGCATTTATAAATTAATAAGTAACGAAGTAACCAACAGCAGACAATCCCTATAAAGTATGGTAAAATCCAAACCAAATTTAATACACATTTAAATTTTATGTTTATTGAATCAAAAGCATCTACTTTTGCACATTTGAAAATGTTTTAGCATTCTGATTTCCATGTGTAGAATTTTGTTTATATCACAATGCCAAATTAATACTACAAAAAGAAGAACAATAATTTTTAAAAAGACTATATTGGTAAAAGTTACTCAGAAGTTAGTTTTATAATCTGTGTATATGTGATAAGATGGTATTTTTGTTCAAAATAATGACAGGAAGCTTTAGTAAAATATATATTAATTGGTCCATTTTGCTGTAGAAGTATTTGGTTGTACAATGAGGAAGTTAAACAGAGTCAACATATGCTTTATGGAAATGTATTTTTCTGCAAAATGATGTTGTTTTAGTCATATTGGAAACTTAGTCAAAGGTCTTATTCCCCACAATTTCAATTGCTATTCTTGCTGTAATAGCAATGGCAAGCAGAGACCGAAAAGATACATTTAACACCAAACTTTAATTAGAGCAGGTTGCAATATGGGAGTTAAAGCTGAGAGGCAACGTTTTTCTTGTCCTTTCTTCTCCTTTATGTTTGAAGGGATATTCTCTTCCCTGGTGAAATAATGAAGTTATTCTTTGCAACTCTCTACATAAAAATAGTTACGGGAAATACAGTGAAAGAAATGTATATTATCAACTATTACAAGGAATAGCAATCAGCCCATAGCTTAGATAGACCCTTTTGCTGCTGTCCTGAACACAAACCAGCAAGCCAGCTATATTAATTAGTACTTCAGAGACTGTCTGTGTAAGGAGAGCATCTCTTTGCTCTGTCTGTACCAGGAAGTACCACAAGTAGCTTGTGAAGCCATTGCCTCATGCTGTGACCTGCCCTGGTTAGTGCTTCACGTCTAGCTTTCCAGCATGAAATCTAGCACCTCATACAACAGGTAGCAATCTCACTCCAAAGTTACATATATTTGTTTGGAAGGTTGTTTCACAATGCCTCTCTATCCACTCTCTTTACCCATGTAGAAACATTGTTTTATCATGTTTCATGCATGGCCACCTATTCACAAATGCCAACATGCATACATTTATTTATTTTAAGCTTTCCTTTCCTTTCTTCTTCCAGTCTTTCACAGCTTTTGGCTGATAACTTCCTTTTATGCACAGTTCATAAAAAAACGTTACTTTAGGGATGCACAATTCTCTGTGCACATATGTAAGAAAATGCTGGAAGATCAGCATAGGGACACTGAGGCAAGCCAAAATGTAAACTGAAGATCTAGTTGCAAACATATTCTAAAACCAAACCATGCATAGTAATATATAATACAGTATTTTCTGTACCTGGTTTACTATGTCTTTGGTGACAATGGATGATAATTAAAATTCAAGAGCAATTTAAAAATTGTAGCTTGTGATTTTTTTAAAGGGATAACAGAGGAAGAACGGCAATTTTTGGCTCCTCCCATGCTAAAATTTACCAGAAGTCTATCCATGCCAGACACCTCTGAAGATATCCCTCCTCCTCCACAGTCTTTACCTCCATCACCACCACCTCCATCTCCTTCTCTTTACAACTCCCCCAAATCTCCAGTGTCTAGAATATATGGGACAATTAAGCCTGCATTTAATCAGAATTCAGGTGCAAAGTTAGCTATTTCAGGTAGATCTGAAAATATGGGAACGGTGATAAGGGACAAAGGGATATATTACCGGAGAGAGATGGACCGTTATTCTCTAGATTCTGAGGACTTATATAGCAGAAATGCCTCAACTCAGGCAAGCTTCAGAAACAAGAGAGGTCAGATGCCGGAGAACCCATACTCTGAAGTTGGAAAAATAGCAAGCAAAGCAGTGTATGTCCCAGCCAAGCCAGCAAGACGGAAGGGAATGCTAGTGAAACAATCTAATGTTGAGGATAGTCCAGAAAAAACCTGCTCTATTCCAATTCCAACTATCATTGTTAAAGAGCCATCTACCAGCAGCAGTGGGAAAAGTAGTCAAGGAAGCAGCATGGAGATTGACCCACAGTCTTCAGAGCAACCAGGACAGCTCAGACCTGAAGATAACTTGACTGTCAGTAGTCCATTTGCAGCAGCCATTGCAGGGGCAGTGAGGGATAGGGAGAAAAGGTTAGAAGCCAGGCGTAACTCTCCAGCTTTCCTTTCCACAGATTTGGGAGATGAGGATGTTGGGCTATCGCCTCCAATGCCACGTTTGAGACAGTCTAAGTTTAGTGATGAGGGAATGTTTGGTAATGAAGACAACTTTAGGCAACTTGTATCACCATCTCCTATCCCAGCACCTAGAGAGCCTGAAAATATTTTTAATAGCAGTGAATCAAGTAATCAAAGTGATGCAAGGACACCAAACCCTCCAACCCCAACATCCATGGGTTCAGAAAATAATGTGTTGGCAACTCAGAATGCTGGTATGTCCAGTTTGGATAACTATGTTCATCCACTCACAGGGAAATTACTGGATCCAAATTCACCTTTAGCCCTTGCCCTTTCTGCCAGAGATAGAGCCATGAAGGAACAAACCCAGCAAATTCCAGGGAAAGGAGAATCTGGCAAAGCAGACCTTAATAAACCCCTTTATATAGATACAAAGATGAGGTCCAACATCGAAACTACATTTCCAGTGACAGCTACAATTGCTAGGCAAAATACGCGTGGTCCACTAAGGCGGCAGGAGACGGAGAACAAATATGAGACAGATACGGGGAAAGAGAGGAGGCCTGAAGAAAAGAAGAACATGCTGATCAATATTGTGGATACCTCACAGCAGAAGTCCGCTGGTTTGCTCATGGTTCATACGGTAGATACAGCACAGTCCAATGAGACCCCTGATGAAAAGGAAGAGGAAAGTGCTGAGATAGATGTGGATACTGAAAAGCCTCCACCAGAGGCGCAGGAAAGTACGGAAACAGCAGAAAGTGGACTAGATGAAGCTGACATGCCTGAGCTACCTGCATCTCCCTGCAAAACTATTGTAGCAGTTGGCTCTGTTGATGATCCAATCATTTTACCGTTCCGTATCCCTCCACCCCCTTTAGCATCTGTTGACCTTGATGAAGATTTCATCTTTACTGAGCCATTACCACCGCCTTTAGAATTTGCTAACAGTTTTGATATCCCTGATGACCATTCTGTCCCAGGCTCTGCACTAACAGACTTGCTCAAACACAGAAAAAATGGAACTCCGCCTACTTCATTCAATCCTACTCAACCCTCAAATTCAATAGACAGTAAGAAACCAGTGGGTCTTTCAAACTGTTTGCCTGCCTCATTTTTACCACCGCCTGAAAATTTTGATAACGTCACTGACTCTGGGATTGAAGAGGTGGACAGTCGAAGCAGTAGTGACCATCACCTAGAGACAACCAGCACTATCTCAACTGTGTCCAGCATCTCTACCTTATCCTCTGAAGGTGGTGAGAACTTGGATACTTGTACAGTCTATGCAGATGGGCAAACATTTCTGGTGGACAAACCCCCAGTACCTCCTAAGCCAAAAATGAAGCCCATAATCAACAAAAGCAATGCACTTTACAAGGATGCGCTAATTGAAGAAACTGTAGATAGTTTTGTTATTCCTCCGCCTGCCCCACCCCCACCTCCTATCAGCGCACAGCCCGGTATGGCTAAAGTTGTACAGCAAAGGACCTCTAAGCTATGGGGTGATGTAACGGAGGTTAAAAGCCCAGTTCTCTCAGGCCCAAAGGCTAATGTCATTAGTGAATTGAACTCAATACTGCAGCAAATGAACAGAGAGAAATCATCAAAGCCAGGGGAAGGATTGGAGTCACCTCCAGGAATAAAAACAGCAAGTCTTAGTACAAGGTAAATGCAACTAAATTATTTTTTAAGTCTATAGTGTCCGTAAAGTTTAAATTGCCTTTACTTTCATTAACAATGTCTCAAATACCATTTAATCTTATGTTTAAAATGCATGGTATTAATGCTCCAGTATTAATTTTTGACCCTCTTAAAAATCTACAAAATACGTTAATTGCTATTATCATTTTTCACCTTTGCCCTTCTTTGTTTATGATATTAACACGTATTGAAACATGCTATCTTTTACTATGCTGCTAGTTAAGAATCAATTTCACCTCTCCTTTCTAGAATCCCTGGTTATGTGTTTTATGGTTTACCCCTAACTTCTCCACATTTAATGAAAAGGTTTCAAAGTGGCTCTAAGTGACAGCTGACTGGTTATAGTTCTGATTTAATTTCAAGTTGATATTGCTTCAGCAGTAGCTATCTTATTTAGAATGTGTTGAGTATTTTTGTGTTTTATTTTGCATGATACATATGTTTAGTTTGCAATGCAGAGGGCCACATGTGGCACTGCATGTATTTGCCAAGGTTTTTCGTCTTCCTGCTGCAATCCATTACAACCTCCAACAAAGCACTCCTGAGAATCCAGTTGGAGGTGGAAGGAAAGAGAGAAATCAGCAGTCCCACATGCAAATGTAGAAGTGCTTTCTGCTCACACCTTTGGATCCCAGCCAGAATCTCTCTATGCTTTTTTAGTAAATGAAATAAAAATCTGTCCTTTATATGATAACAAATATTCCAATGCAACTTTAGAAAAAACCAAAAGTGACACATTTAACCTCAAAAATATTTATTTTATTGCATGGACTTCAGCACATGCAAGAAAGGAGATAGACTAATGGACCGTATTCTGGTTTCATTTTTTAAAATCAAGTTTCCTGCTGGATCATACCAGTTGCTCATTTGGTCTAGCATCTTGTTCTCACACTGTGCACATTCAGTTGCTCCAGTAAAGCGATCAACGTACATTAATTATTTGTTGTTTGAGCTGTTTGGTTTTAATTGTTGAAAGAAGAGTAGTCACAAAGCCTGACCTTTAGTCTTTTCTAGGGTGGCCAGAGACAAAGGATACAAGGGCTTTTGCACCTCTCTCAATTGTGGAATTTTGTTGTGTGCATCTTATAATGCAGGGGTGAAAGCAGCTGCACTTTCAAAAAAATCATTTTCTACACAGCTATTAAAAATGTGAGAGGTCTGTCAACCTCTCCTCTTAATCAGAGCATACAACTGCCATGGTGAATAATACATTACTTTTTAAAAACTTTTTTAAAAAACATGTTCTCCATGGTGGTAGTATATGGTGGCAGGGTCAGCTTTGGCATCCCATCTTCAACCACCCTGCCTTACAGCCAGTACCACTGAAAGATTGCATTTGTTAGACATATTTTTAAAGTCAATATTGTGAAATTTATTGAGCCTTTGGATGGATTTGTTGCACTTGCTATGATAGGTTCTAGGACTTTCAACTGAAGGTGGCGACCAATGGTAGCGGAACAGTAGAGTGATGTAAGAAACCCCAAACTCTGAATGTACCATTCTTTACCTGTTGTTGAGCCTGGCTTTGGCCGGGGAGGGCAAGATACAAAAAAATCTTTTATTATTATTATTATTATTATTATTATTATTATTATTATTACCAGGACCTGTTTCCTAGCAAAGTTTAAGCTTCAGCTACATGGGGACAGGTTTTATGTGGTAGAGCAGGGGTGTCCAACAGGTAGATCACGATCTACTGGTAGATTGCGTGGGGTCTGTGGTAGATCGCAGTCAGTCGTGGAACCCTCCCCCCCCCAAAAGAAAGCTCAACAACTTTGGTAGATCACTGCCAGTTTTTTTATAGTAAGAGTAGATCTCAGTCTCTTGAAAGTTGGACATGCCTGTGGTAGAGAATTGTCATGAGTCCCTCTGCCCATTACCATACCTCTTATTGTATAATATAAATGATCCACAGGGATCCTATGTGCACAGACACTCAATTCTTGTGTCAGTTCTCACTCAAACTAGGGATGACATACCAGTGGGGCAGTGATGAAATTTCTATGTGGAGCTTCCATATCATGTTACTTTATGGGTCGAACGGGTGTGTGTGCTGTGCTGCTTCTCCAATATATTAAGCCGAGTGAATATCTAAACCACAAATGGATACCTAAACATTATACTCCTGTTAGTGAACCTAGCAGTTCTTATTTGTTCTTCCCTTTCATTTAGCAATCTGATTTACCAGTGAATAGGCAAAGGGTTCATAAGGTGTACTCTTTGTAAAGTATTTATTTTATTTATTTCACTCCTGCCTTTTTATAAAACATAACTTTTAGGTGTAGGAAGGACACATTAATGATTTTCCCCTTCCCCTTGAAAATATGCTCCAGAAGATTTGTGGACCTTTCAGAACAGTGTTGTGGCTATGGGAAGAAGTGGGGTGGGATCATACAAAGGGCCTCAGCCATTTCTTCCGGTTCCAGTAGAAATCTTCTCTGGATCTCCGTCCTTTCCATATATGGAAGAAGCCCTTCTGTTCAGGAAAGGCCAAATCGGAACCAAACTTGTAATATCAAAAGTACTGCTAAGTTTCTGTTACTCTATAAATTACAATGTTCTCCCTGTTCCAGGGGTCTGTTGACACTCAGAGGTGCACATGGAATTCCAAAAAAATGTTGGTTTCCATTAGTTTCAATGGAGGGAGCTAAAACACAACAGGATTTACTCTTTCTATTCTTGGCTGAGGTCACAGAGTGAGGAAAATCCAAAGGCATGGAGAGTCATATCCACAAGAGCTTGCTAAATCATGAAGTTTAAGTAATAATCAAAATGTGGCTAGCTTTCTGCTTGTTGTAGAGATGTGAACAGTATGGTTTTTGTGTCTTCAGTGTGTATTAGCAGTATTTGGAAATTATAATATTGGAAAGCGTATGTAGAATTGGCAGCCAAATTTGCCATGACATTTGTGGCTTTCAGTAAGGAAATGTAGCAATCCTAACAGTATACTGGAGTGTTGATTAACTTTGCAACTTTCAGTTTAGTATGAAGATTCATTTAATTTTAATAAGCAAATTAAGGTAATTTCTTCCTGTGCTGCATACTTATTAAAAATTTGTCCACTCAGCTGGCAGTGGAAGTCCCAATTATAAACCAACTTAAATGTTAAGGTACTTCACAGTAATTGTATCAGTGTGATTCTTTCCTATGGTGCCAGTACACTCACCTTTTAATCAGATTTCCCTAATGGGGTATAACAAATATAACATAGCTAAAACATATGAATTAAACTAGACAGAATTAAGGCAGTTTAAAGAAAAAGGATGCCACTCTATATTGACTATGTCATTGTCAATTTTACAAGCTTATCTTGTAGTATCGTTTGGATACAGATTTCCCTGAAAACTGTTTATTTTTCTGCATTGCTATAGTTTGTAGGTTCTAGAAATAAAAATCTGTATACTTCCATATACTGATATTTGAACAATGGAAGGGTTTTTTCCTTATTGACTTTTATGTCATATTTCAAGAAGTAAAAACCAGGACACCCTGAATGTTGTTTCTTCTTTTTTGTTTTTCAAAAACGCCGGGAACCACGATTTATTGTATTGATTTAGGCATGGGCATAGTCAAGGGGGGCAGTAAAGCAACAGAATTACTTAACTAGATGGCCAATCACATCGGTTCTGTACCCCCCCCCACAAAAGTCCTGGCTACACCCATACATGTGTGCATTAGAAGGCACCACCAGCTGTAAAACAGTGGTTTTCTGAGAGTGTACAAAGCCTTGAAAATTGCTTTCGGAGAGTGCTCTCACTAATTTACATTCACACAAACACACACCCAGCAATTCACACATTCAGCAATGCTTCTTGCTCCAGGCAAGTGTATAAAGGGCAAAATTAAGAGTGCTCTTCCTCCCTCCCTCCCTCCCTCCCTCCCTCTCTCTCTCTCTCTCTCTCTCTCACACACACACACACACACACACACACTTGAAAAGATATAACCAGCCTACCTCCATACCAGTCTTAAGAGTTTGGATGTTTCCAAACAAGTTTTCCACCCTTTGGAGGAGAAAAAAATATTTCAACTACTATGCATTTCAAAGAGACATTTGTGTGTGTGTGTTGAAATTATGCCATCAAAACCAAGTGCATAGTAAAATTGCCAAAATAAAAGAATTAAGTCCTTAGCTGAATTCAATCTGTAAATGACAAGCATAAAAAATCAGTCCCTGAGCAGATGGGTTAGTTTTTGTTCTTTGTACTCCCATCCTGCTTTAAGCTGTTTATGGGAAGAAATTGGGTGTCCTTGCCACATAATCTTTGTTAAATTAATCTTACAAAAAGCAAATTATAAAGACCTCGCAAAGCCTGTTGATTATCAGAGAGCAGCTGTTTGAGCTCCTTCTCCCCGGCTTTTATTGTAAACTCTGTACTCCCTACCACCACCACCCATTCATAAATACGCAGGTAAATACATTAGCAAGTAAATAAGCAGGTTAATCTACCTCTGAACCAAATAGTTGTATTAAAACACAATGATCAAGTATCCACTGAATAATTACTGTATCAATAGAGTAAAGGAGGTAACTGTGAAGAGGGAAAGAAAGGGGCGGGAAGCATCTTGAACAGTTTAGGCTGGAACCAGCATCTGTTATCCTGGAGGTTTATTCTAATCCATAATGATGTTACTGAGATTTAACAATAGTTGCAGGGTTGCCAGCCTGAAACTGTTGACTTAATATCTTATTCAGGGAAGATTCTGTTCTTCTGACACTCTTTTGTACGCTAGTGATATTTTTTACTATGTGTCCTCAGTCCTTCCTGAAGCCAGGAGGTATTCAAGGGTTTCATTGCCATGCATTAATATACTGAGTTGTAAATGTTTCATTGTTGACACAATTTTGCCCCAGACAGGTAAGTGAAAAGTAAATCAAGAAGATGCATTGGCAGATGTTGAATTGGTCACCTTTGAACTTCATAACCTTAGAGTTTCATAAATAACCCAACAATCAGAGAGGT